AGTACATAATTGGTGGAAATCACCAAGTCCAAGTTGAAGATGATTCGTGAAAGGCTTTAGGCGGCCCAGGATAGACAGAAGAGCTATGCTGATAAGCGCCGAAGAGCCTTAGAGTTTAAGGTGAGAGATGAGGTATTCTTGAAAGTTTCACCTTGGAAGGGGATCATCCGATTTCAGAGCCGAGGGAAACTTAACCCACGATACATAGGGCCATTTGTAATTCTTGAGAAAATTGGGGCCGTGGCATACCGATTGCAGTTGACTCCGGAATTGGAGAAGATACATAATGTATTCCATGTGTCTATGCTTAAGAAGTATATGTCGGATCCGTCTCATGTATTAGAGAAACCACCCGTGGAAATACGGGAAGACTTGAACTATGCCGTGCAACCGGTGAAAATACTTGACAGGCAAGTCAAGAAATTGAGGAGCAAGAAAGTTCCAATGGTTAAAATCCTTTGGAAGAGTGACCGAGTTGAAGAAGAAACTTGGGAAACGGAAGCCCTAATGAGGGAACAGTATGCATTTCTTTTTGAATAAGCATTGTGAATTTCGGGGACGAAATTCCCGTTAAGGGGGGATGAACTTGTGACACCACACCCGGATGTATTTGAATTTGAAAATTCAACATGTATTTGAATTTCCTAGCGAATAAAAAAATGTGCGCAGAATGATTTATTTAATTAATGTGCGATTAATTAAATTATTTATCGGAGCCATAATATTGAGAATGGGCTACTGAATAATTAGTTGGGTCATCATAATAATTATAGAAGCCCAATAAAATGTCAACTAAGGTTGGAAAAAATGTTTGGACAAACAATTGCTATTTTGACCCAACTTGCCAGAAATAGCGGGAATAATTGGGAGAGACTTTATACACCCACTTGGGGTATCCTACACATCAACTAAACCTCAAATAATAGGATGGCACAAGACAAGTGCACAATCCCTATGGCCTATCTACACCTCAAATAGTACATTTGATTAAGGATAGATACTTCCCCCTCACTTTGAGCCTTACAAACGACCAAGGAGGATAGAGAAGCACTAGGAAAGCCTTTCACAAAGAGTCCATAACTTGAAGGAGGAAGGAGGAAGGAAAACCCAAGAAGAAAAGCTAGGAGTTGAGGTAAAAAGCTCAATTAGTGCTTTTAACTAGTATTTTATGCATATGATTTTTAAGAAATCATATAGTGGATTAAGCCATGATTTGTACACGTTTAAAAGTGTAGAATATTGATATAAGGTGGTGGTATTTAACTTAGAAGAGTTGGTGAATCGACAGGAGTCGAAATCGCCGGAAACCACCACTCAAAAGGAGCTGCTCAAAACTGCAGAACCCGAACGCCGCCCATCTTTCACGAAAGCCGCCCGGCTTTCACCCACTGTCCAGATTTTCCATCTCCGATCGGCCTAGAACGAGGACGGGTCGAGGAGTTTCGCTAAGGCAGATAGTTGAGCACATCATAAAGTGAGGATGACTGACTATGTTTCTTATAATTAGTGAGTTAATTTCATGAGATTACCTAAGGTAATTAAATGTGTTTTTATGGATTATTAATGATTAATAATGCCTAAGAATGAGAAGAATATTATCCATAAGAAAGGAGAATGATATACAAATTTAGGAATAAATTGTGTATGATCATGTGTTATGAGTATGTTGACTTGATAATGGGATTAACTATGAAATGCATGTTGAAATATACTTTTTACTTCATATAAGAATATATGAATGATTAAAAGTGATATTTTGTATATTGATATAATGATGATATTTTCATTGGGAAATCAGTGGGGCATTTTATAAATGACCATGAATAGAGAACTTGGTTTTGTTGGAATTAATTGGACTAGTATTGACATACTAGTTGGACATTAAAGTGAAATCTTGCTAAAATTGATCCTAGGGTTGGATTGTGAAGTGTTATGCCTTAAGTAGTCTTAAGAGATGCTTTAAGGTAGGAAAGTATGAACTTTAAGTTATACTAGGGGTAGGCCTTAAGGGATACCCAAGATAAATTAAATAATAAATTGATCCTAGGTATAGGATTGGCCTACGGGTGTGTTCGGTAGTCCTTGAGGATAGCCGGTTGAATTATGGGAATAAGTAAGGACCATGGCCCTTTCCGACCCTAGAGAGCGGGGTTGGATAGCATGGACTTGCATTGTGATCACGGGTTAGGGTGGAATCCGAATCGAAGACCTAACTAGGCTCTGGTAGCGGTAACACATAAGATAGGACCCCGAAGGGCCTTACCTTCCCACGGGATGATGGGTATGAGTCCAGAGGCGGGATGTTGAAATCCAAACCGAGAGCCTCATGAGGTCTCGGATAGCGGTAGCAAATCCCGTAGAAATAATAAGACCCACACGTTGGGTTGTACAAATGATGAATGAAAAGGAATATATAAGGAGGACCGTGTGCCGACACATAAATGAATTTACTTATGATAAAGATAATAAGTGAGAAATATAAATTATTATTTATATTATGATATCACCCTAATTTGAGGGTCTTAGAAATTAAAACATTGATTATACTCGGTATAGTTGTCATTGTACTTGTCAAATGCTTCCAAGTACTGACCTCCCCTTCACGGGGAGGCCACCTCACAGTTTTCAGGTAGAACTTGAAGGTTGCTACCATCGCCCGTTGCCTCAGGAATATTCAAGGAAAGAAGACGTGGTTCGTGCTTCTTTCGTTCAGTTTTAAAAACACTTATGTTAATGCTCATGTATATTTTTTTTAAAATAATTATTTTGGGGGCTTGTATGCGTAATTATGCCAAGTGTGACTTGAAGTCTTGAACACTTGTATTAAATGTTTCTGCTGCTTTAAATGAATATTTTACATCATGTTTGTTTATGGATGTACTATGTGTGAATGATATTCAAGACGCCTTGTATAGTATGCATGAGCTGGACTGCGCTTGACTATTCGTACTGTACGGCGGGTTGTTGACGTGTTCGGGTAGGTCCGGGGCGTGACATATATAGTACCGAGAATAGAAATATATCCGGTCTTATATGATACAGGTGTGATGTCTTGATATTCAACGGGGTTTTCGGTAGATGAATGTAAGCCGTAACGGGACTTACACGTAACGAAAATCACGCTCTCGCTGTCTTAACCGGAGTTGAGAATATATTAGCGACATCGTATTCATAATTATTGACAAAGAACTAATATTCAACCCTATTAAAGCATTTAAGTGATTCACGAAGCCTTAGTTGTTGTTATCAATCACCGTAAACTCAAATTAATTTAAGTTATATCCTTGAAAATTAAAGAGAAGAACCAAGTTGTTGTTTTTACAACAACACACAAATCAAAACCCCTGCACTTTATTCATTTCTTCATTTAAAGCTATCTACTCTCGGACTTTAATTAAACAACGTTTTCTTGTGGATTCAACCCGATATTTTATTACTATATCGGCACTTGTGCACTTGCAAGTTTAGCCCAGTCATGATCCGATGATTTTATCATGGATGCAAGGAGACGTATACTTGTAAATATGAAATAACTTAAAATTTTACTTAAGAAAATATGAAGTGAGGTGCTTACTAATCCACTTTAAGATGTCATAAAAAACTCAGTTTAAGATATAAAGTGTTTACTAAGTAGATATTCATCCAAAAATTGTCTAGTGCATTACCATTAATTAATAAGTTAATGGTGAAATTAACTAAACAGTTCTAAAATGAATATCTTAACTATAGAAAAGATTAGGCGGTCAAATCATTAGGTCTGTCTGGGATTTTTTTTTTGGAATTTGTTGTTTGTACACAATGGGTTACACCCATGTGTACACCGCTACACCCTATATAACTACCCCTATCTTTTACTCCACTCCCCCCATTTTTTACTCTCCCATTCCTCCCCTCTTTCCTAATACTCTCTCTCTCTCTCTCTCTCTCTCTCTCTCTCTCTCTCCTTTCTTTATTATATCTTTCTTTCTCCTTCATCATCGTCATCTTCATCATCATTCTTTTTCTCCCTTCTCTCCTTTTCTTTCTTTTTACCTTTTACTCACCATCATCTTCCATCATCATCTTCCATTATCATTTTCACCAAAAAGTTGTTGTTTGAGAATGACCGATAACTTGTCGGAAAGTCATCAGAAAATTAGAGCCGCCTGAATCTTTGTTTGTATGGTGCTAAATAATGATAAATATTACCCGTGATGAAAAAGGAAACCAAAAAACTAGTAACATGCTATAAACTTTCGCCATTGATAGTTTTACACAGACAACAAATGTCAAAAAAGTCAGGGTTAAATTACACCGGAACAAGTGTTGTGTACACAGACAAACATTGTATATTTACAAACATTTTTTTGTCTACACAGACAACTAACAACTAATTCTCTGTACACCGACATTGGTTTCCGTGCAACCACCCTAACAGATCTACAAAAATCATACACCAATCAATGTGATTTACGCACAAATCATTTTTTGTTAACACAAATAATTTTATCAAAAGTGTCTATATTTATACTTTTTTCATTCGTGTGAATGGCAAAAGGTCTATATTTGTGGAATTAATCTTTAGGTACACCCTGGGTTACACCCAGGGGTACACCCTATATAAACTCCCCGTTTTTTATTTCACTTCCTCCCCACTTTTTCCTCCCTCCCTCCCTCTCCACTCTTTTTTCTATCCTCCTCCCCTCTTGATTCATACGCACTCCTCCTCCTTCTCCTCCTCCCTTCTCTCTTTTTCTTTTCTTTTTGTTCACATCGACACTTTTTTGTCTACACAGACAATTAATGTTTGTGTACACCGACATTGGTTTCCGTGCAACCAGCCTGGCAGATCTGTAAACTGATTTTATTCACATCGACAATTATATCAAAAATGTCTGTATTTATACGTTTTTTGTTATTTTGAATGACAAATAATAGGGTAACCCAGCGTGTACACCTAGAATTTTCCATATTTGTGAGTTAAAAACTTAAGAAACAAGGAAATAGACGTGGTTAGAAATGTGATGCTTAAGTCAAAGCAGTAGTGTTTGACTTAGACGTGGGTGCGGTGAAGTGATCGGCGTAGTTATCGTTGACGCCCTAATTACCTTCTGCTGCCGCTCGTCCTCTCCCAAACCATAATCCCCAGACAATCAAACGGCTTCCATTCTTCATTCTGGATAAGCACATCTGGGAGTTCCTTTTGCACGAAAATGCAGCTTTCTCGCTGAAGCTCAAGCTTTGTTACGCCCGAGTCGCTCTTTCGTGGTAATGATACTAATAATTGTTTTGCTTGATTTTAACTACAAATCCAATTTATCTTTTATTCATGCATTGTTTGATATCTGTGAACAAGAACGAAGCTGTTTCTCCTTTTCTTCATTTTTACAAATTTTAGAAGCCTCCGTTTTCCATTCTTCCCTCCCCTCTCGACTTGATCGAGTCAATGAATGAGTACTCGTAATGCAATACAGGTCAAAATTATTTCTTTGTTCTGCTAGAATAGACTGTAGCGCCCAGAGCATAGTGGCACAGTTGCCAAAAGTGGCAGTCAGGGAACTCAGGGTAAAAGAAATGCAACTGAAGCCATCTAGTAGAGCCTAGACTGATTTGTTAATAAACATTACCCTGTTTTTACATGGCAGTGATTATATTTATATGTTTCTACCAGCTTATTTACTCGCACAGTTGCTGTATTGAGAATGCATTTTGTGCTCGGGCACCTCACTGTTGGCTGTTGCTGATATCAAGGTTCTGACTGTATTGACTCTCCCTGATGATTTCTAAATATGACTAGCTGACTTCCTCACCTTAATCATGTCCATTGATTTTAACTATTTTGGAAACCAAGTGAGATCTATTTTTTGGATTTGATGGATCAATCAAAAAATCAAATCCAGTCGCATTATCATACTACTAGAGAACATAGCAATGCCGAAGTAATTCCTGAAACTCAGTTTTTTAGGAGTGACATGCCAGAACATGATGCTCCTGATTTGAGCCATCCAGAGTCTAAGCCTGTTCTCAATTACTCGATACAGACTGGTGAAGAGTTCTCCCTTGAATTCATGCTTGACAGATTTAATACCAGAAAACCCCATGGCCCAAATACTTCTGTTGATCCAAGTCAGACACCTGGTGGTCACCTGGAGCTAAAGGGTGTTTTAGGAATCGGTCATACTGGAGCTGAAAGAGGTTTAGATATTCACATGCTCACTACAACGAAAAGTTCCAGAGATATGGAAGAAAGAAACTACTCCTTGTGTGAAGTGAAAAGTATCAATGGCCCTATGCGACCGGGAGAACAAACTTCCACAGAGAACAGTGACTTTCGAACGCATATGTATGCCTCATCTGCATCTGGAGCATCTGATAGTTCAGTGGCACGTCTCAAGATACTTTGCAGCTTTGGTGGGAAAATATTACCCCGGCCGAGTGATGGAAAGCTCAGGTATGTTGGAGGTGAAACACGCATAGTACGTATAAGGAAGGACATAACATGGCATGAGTTATGGAAGAAAGCTATATCGATTTACGACCTTACTCATGTTATAAAGTATCAGCTTCCAGGAGAGGATCTTGATGCTTTAGTTTCTGTGTCATGTGACGAGGATTTGCAGAATATGATGGAGGAATGTTTTGTTTTAGATGACAGAGAAGGAGCAAAAAAGCTTAGGATGTTTCTGTTTTCTATGATTGACTTGGATGACACTCATTTTAATCTAACTAACTCTCATTCAGAATGTGAGATTCAGTATTTTGTTGCTGTCAATGGCTTTGACATGGACTCCAGGAAAAACTCAGTTTTGCATTGCATTGAATCTTCAGCGAACAACTTAGATGACCTGGAAGTGCATAATGCTGTGATGGACACCGGCAGTGTTGCAACCAACTTTATTGATAAGAACAATCAGTTTTTTTCTGGTTTTGATGACTCGTCATCATTACCCAAGTCTTCTGAACAACACAACTCCTATGATGGTTACCTATCAGAAATGCACCTTTACCATAGACAGATGCCACCCTGTGATGATGGCACACTGCAGAATTCGCAACATGGCATCAACTTGAATTCTTACATGCAAACTCGTGAATGTGTCATTCCGAGACAAAATGACATTTTTGCTCAGAAAGAAGATGTAGAGGGGCAGCTGTTGGATGGACCGAGTGTGAATCATCACATACCGATTGGTGTAAAGCCAGTGAGATCAGATGCTAATGCTTCAGCTCATCAAGGAGAGGAGTTTCAATATAATCAAATATTATCAAATGAGCAGCTTGCTGCTTTACATTTGCTTAACAATAATGTGAAAGGTTACTTTACCGTTGAGAACGGCGGGAAGCCCCATTATCCAATACAGACATCTTCTCCACTTGAAACTGGTAGTCCGGAACTTCCTTATTCAAGCAGAAACGACCGTAGTTGTGCATGTGTTCCCGAAACTGCTCCTATTGATTTGAGTTTCTTTGAGTCCGCCCCTCCACCTCCTCCCCAGAGGGTTTTTTGCTCTGAAAGAATTCCCCGTGAGCAGGCAGAGTTACTGAAAAGGGTATCAAAGTCAGATGATTCACACAACTCTCAGCTTCTTATGACTCATCCCCATTCTGATGTTACACAAACAGATTTGCATACAGAATCTGCTGAAAATGTACAAAGCTCAAACTCTGTACAGAATGAGCAGATCATTCCAGATGAAAACCCTCTACCCTTAGGAAAAAATCAAAAGGTGAAGCAGGCCGTACCAATTGGTCTAGATTTGAAAGACCAAGCAAGTGACAGTCAAGTGGATCTCCATGGAACAGTATCTATGGAAAGTGTTATTACAAAAAAAATTGCTGATGATTCAATGGATGCTGGATCAAGGGTTAATGCCACTAGCGGACTGAATACTGTGAAACACCATGAAGGTTCAGAGAATTGCCTTCCTGATATCCATCAGGGAGATAGGATTGGCAGTGAGCTATTGCCTAGTAATAGTATTCATCAAGGTCTTTCTCAGCACTCGGATGAGAAGGGTAGTTATAATGGGGTTGTTGGTTTGGAGGAACCAGATGTTGGCATGGCTAGATCTGAGCAAGGAGACATCATAATTGACATCAATGACAGGTTTCCCCGCGATATCCTTTCTGATATATTTGCACAAGCCATACTTTCTGGCAGTGTAAGTAATATCAATTCAACACCTAATAATGGAGCTGGTGTGAGTGTTAACTTGGAAAACCTTGATCCAAAGAATTGGTCCTTCTTCCAAAAGTTAGCAGGTGATGAGTTTTCCAAAAGTGATGTTTCTTTGATTGATCAAGACCATCTTGGGTACTCTTCTAGGCTTCAAAAACTTGAGGTCCTTGAGGAGGCTTCTTCAGCCTATGGGGTTTTGCCATCTGTGAATGAAGGAGTTTCTTTAAGCCACTTGGATCAGCAAGTTAATGTTGGTGTGGATGATCAAACAGAATTGTCAAGTACTGTTGGACCCAATTCTCGGATGTTGCATTCTGGATATGGCCCAAACCTGGAGAATGAGGTATAAATTCTCCGTGGGGGTGTAATGTAGTTGTAATAATATATTAATCATCATTACCCCAGTGCCGCAAAGGCTCCCACCTACGGTGGGGGTAAGAGGAGTCGATGTACGCAGTCTCACCCCTTACTAAAGCACATAGACTGTTTCCGGGTGACCCATAGTGAAAATCGCGTCCAAAATTGCATGGACTAACTGTTGCTTCATAACAAAGAAGCGCAGACGGTTTAGTGAGTCATTTTTCTTTATTCCATCATAATCTCAAGCCAAAAAATAATGAATCTTTGGCTCCATTGCAAATGATGGAAATGTAATAATATAGCCTCTTTCCTTATGCTTTACATTTCCATCATTTGCAATGGAGCCAAAGATTCACTATTTTTTGGCTTGAGATTATGATGGAATAAAGCAAAGTGACTCACTAAACTGTTTGCGCTTCTTTGTTATGAAGCAGCAGTCAGTCCATGCAATTTTGGACGGGATTTTCACTATGGGTCATCCGGAAACAGTTTCTCTGTGCTTTAGTACAGGGGTAAGACTGCGTACATCCGACCCCCCCTTACCCCACCGTAGGTGGGAGCCTTTGCGGCACTGGGGTAAATGAAAATGAAATGATATTGATCTGGTTCTGATTGCGATTTTGGTGCATTTCATTTTTAAAGGATGGAGTTAGAGATACAGGACTACCTCCTTTAGGTACTTCTTTGGTAAATGTTGACCTAAGTTCTTTGCAGGTAAGAACTCTTTCTTTATTCTATGCAGATTAATATTATATTCTTATGTGCTTATGAATCTGGTTCCTTACTTAACTCAGGAATTAAGCTATTGTTTTCTGTCTCTGTCTTTATTCTTTAAGCTCAGACACTGAAATATGAGCAAAGTTGTGGCCCTTAAGTTCTGGTGCTAAAAAATTGACAGATCAGGGATGCATAACACTTTAAAACTAGTGCCATTGGTAGGAAGATCTGCTATTTTTCTATACTATTGATCAACAAACATTAATCATCAACTTAGTTTTCATGGCAGAGAAAATCCCCTCAATAGGAGTAAAACATACCTAAAATGCAAGAATAGGAGTAAAAGTTTAAAATTCCCTAAATAGGAGTAGTAATTCGTGATTGGACAGAAACACTTTTGTAGGGTTTGAAGCTACTACCAATGGTCACCGACTGCCGCTGTCACCGGCAGCCACCAATCTAAACCTTAACCCTAGATTCTAAACCCTAACACTAAATAGAAGGGTATTTTTGTCCGTACACTATTTATTACTCCTATTTAAGGAAATTAAAACATGAACTCCTATTTAAGGAAATTAAAACATGAACTCCTTTTTTTCCTCTTTCCTTATGCTTTACTCCTATTTTAGGCAATTTCTTAAAGTAAAAAAACAGCAAACTATACATACAAATCTCACAAATTTAGAAGCCAAATAAATCAGAGATTGGAGAATCTTTGGAGATCCTAGATATTATTTCCTAGACAAGTCGATCAAGGATGTGTTGGAGATCTTAGATAATATTTCCTGATTGCAATTTCTGAATTATTGTTTTCTTTTCTTTAGTTGCTTTCTTTATTTTATTTCCCAATCTCTTTAAAGCCTATCTAAGGGCCAGTTGAATAGAGGGGAAACTTTGCAAGTTTTGAGTAAGAAAAGTCTTAGGGAGTGAGGAATTCTCAATAAAGAGTCCAACTTATTGTGTTAAAACAATAAACATAGCCAAACCTACTAAGCATAAATTTACCATCTCACTCGCCCGAAGGTCTGTGACTAGATCTTGCACACAAGCTGCCTGTAATAGTCTGCCATGGCGATGGTGCATTAATGGCATCGCCACAACACAAACAAATAATAAGTATAAAGATAAACTTTACACAATTTAGTTATATAGTTTAATCACCATTAAAAGAGCTAAATAACTAAACCCAAATAAAACACATGGGCAAGTCATAATAGTACCAAAATGATCTTAATTAAACACACTTAACCAACTTTAAAGTGGTGGTATCTTGGTGGTCTCTTGTTGATGCACCTCTCAGCTTTCTTCTTCCGTATGCACCATGGTTGTTCTTTCGTTATTAGTCGCTGGTTCTTTCTTAAGCCTTCATTGCTGATAATATGGCTCGGTTGGGTGATAATAGCCTATTTGGGTTTTAAAAATCTATATTGTGGTGTGTGGCCTAAGTCATAACTTACCAATCCTAATTATTATGGCCCTATTTACTTGAAAAAGACTCTTAAATTATGCAACTGTCTAATATGGCGCATGTGACCCAGGCGATGGCTATGGCACTAAAATGGTGCCGCCTTAAGTTTTCTGGTCATGGACTGGTTTTGTGGTGATGGACTCTTAAAATGCCAATGGCAACAAATGACGATCGTCATTAGTGCCATTGACTACCCTGATCATACAAATGTCCTAAAATTCTGAATGCTTTTACACTTTGTCCTTTTGATGCAAGAGAAAGGATATTTCACCTGTGTATTTGTTATATTAAAATGTCTGTTTCACATCCTTTTTGGAGTACAGATAATCAGAAATGAAGATCTTGAGGAAATGAAGGAACTTGGTTCTGGCACATTTGGGACTGTGTACCATGGAAAGTGGAGGGGGAGTGATGTAGCAATTAAACGAATAAAAAAGAGTTGCTTTACAGTGCGGTCATCAGAGCAAGAGAGATTGGTGATCATTCTTTGACTCGCGATACCCCCACCCCTACCTTCTTTCCCTTCTATGCGTCATTTAGAACAAACATGTTTCAAATGTGTAGTTTGCATCAGATGGAAACAATTTAAAAGGGGGTTAGATCCACATTTATCTTTCTTTAAGATCTTTCTCATGTTCCGTCACTTATTCTACCACGTTTGCTTAAGCTCTTTATTATTATTAATATTATTTTATTATTATTACTATGGATATTATTATTATTATTATTATTAAAGCTCCATTCATAATACTTTCTTGCTTACACCAGACTCTGGAGTTCTGGAGGGAAGCTGATATTCTTTCAAAGCTTCATCACCCAAATGTGGTGGCATTTTATGGTGTAGTTCAAGATGGAATAGGTGGAACTCTTGCTACTGTAACTGAGTACATGGTGGATGGTTCTCTAAGGCATGTCTTAATTCGCAAAGATAGGTACATTCGCATGACCTCCAAACAACAAAAGCTCACATTGCATGCCTGGATTTGGATAGAGATGTGCATTATTGTTACTTTTTGGAGTGCTTTTCACTTTACATTCATTTAACTCATGTTGAATTTCTTCCCTGTTATTATTGCATTTGCCTGCTGCAGGCATCTTGACAGGCGGAAGCGGATCATAATAGCCATGGATGCAGCATTCGGGATGGAATACCTACATTCAAAAAACATTGTACATTTTGATCTGAAATGTGACAACTTGCTGGTTAATTTGAAGGATCCTTCACGGCCGATATGCAAGGTCATTTTGATGATTTGGACACCAATTACCTGTGATTTTCTTTAGGATCAATTGTTGTTTTTGTTTACTACCCCTTTATCTTGAAGACAGGGTCAAGTCTGATAAATATCTTTTTAAAACCATATTTTCAAATTAAACTGATGTTGGTATATGTTACATTAGGTGGGTGATTTTGGTTTGTCAAAGATTAAACGGAACACATTGGTGTCTGGGGGAGTTAGGGGGACGCTCCCGTGGATGGCTCCTGAACTGTTGAATGGTAGCAGCAACAAAGTTTCTGAGAAAGTAAGTTGCAACGGTTTTGACTGTTTTTGGTTTTCTGGCCCATACAGTCCGCGAGTTTCGTTTTCATGCGCATGATAATGATAATAATAATAAAAATAATAATAAAAATAGTAGTAGTAGTAGTGGCGGTGGTGGTGTGTAATAGTTAATAACGGTAATTAGGCTGAGGGTGAGGCTGATATTCTTCTGATTGTTGCGGAAACAGGTTGATGTCTTCTCCTTTGGGATTGTGCTATGGGAGATTCTGACGGGGGAGGAACCTTATGCCAACATGCATTACGGCGCAATAATAGGTGTGTGTTGTTTGCTTTGCACTCTCACTAGTTTGTCTTGTTTTGTTTATGAAGAGTTGAACTAGAGTAATAGAGAAAGCACATTTCTGTCTGTTTGACTGAGTGTGCGTGCAGGGGGGATAGTGAGCAATACGTTGAGACCGAGCATTCCAAATCAGTGCGATCCAGAGTGGAGAAAGTTGATGGAGCAGTGTTGGGCTCCAAACCCGTCTTCCAGACCTTCTTTCACAGAGATTGCCAGCCGCTTACGCGCTTTGCTCTCCACTGCTGCCCCCCCACAGAGCAAGGCCCCCAAACCACCATCATAATAACCAACCCATTATAACAACTACTCACTCCGCCCGCATGTAGTACAAAGCATGGTTGCATTGTAGGACTGCAGGAGGAGACGGGGTTGTCTTCTCTCTATTTTTCCTTTTCTCCAAACAAAAGATGAGAGGAAAGACGTGTTGATTTCTTTTTCTTAGTCAACCAAATGATGTGGAAAGTAAATGACGGAGTATAAAAAACATTTTCACAAGAGAGATAAAACTTGTGAAACGGCTAAATGAAATAGTCAGGCAAAAGTTTGGGGATGTTGTGAAATGAAGAAGATGCAAAATAGAATTAAGAGAGATATATTATTAATAACCTCTGAATTACTTCTTCTTAATCTAAAAAAATTTGAGTTAATTTACAAGGCTTCATCAAACTCCTATTTATAGTGGTTGAGCTTGATGATTACTCATCTAAAGGATGACTCTACAGATTTGGTGGCAATAACAAATTGAACCATCTGCTTTAACTAGGTTACAAGGATTATTACAAGTATCAGGAATGGTTTGGTGTCCTAATGACAAGGATGAACAATTCACGCTTGTCATTTCCTAGATTTTACAACACTCCCCCTTGAATAGGTATTCGTTATATAAAAAAAACTTATTGTGAAAAAAAATTAGTGTGGAAATGAAGGGGTAAAGATTACGACTTATGTCGTTGTAGGGGTGGACCCGGGTTGGGTCTAGGCCCGGGCGGGCCGGCGGTTCAGGAGTGGTGGACCCGGGATCGGCCCGGGTAACCACCAGGTCCGGGCCGGGCCGGGCCTATTATCAATTTTTTCCCCTCTTCCTAATTAACCCCCCTCCCACCCCCAAACCACCCCAAATGGTCCAAAATACCCAGCCCAACCTGAAAATTTAAAAAAAATTGAAAAGAAAAAAAATTAGTTTTGGCCCGAACCAGGCTCGGGCTTGGCCGGGTTGGGCCTTGTTTTGGGTGACCCGAGCCCGGACCGGAAAACCCACGGGTCGGGTCAGGCCAGAACAGTTTCGGTCCCGGGCCGGTTCCGGGACGAGCCACCCGGCCCGAGTCCATCCATATGTCGTTGTATTTGGATGTATTGTCTCGTTAAAAACCTTATCAGGAAAAACTCAGTGGGATAAAGTTGATTAAGGAAAAAATAGTGCAGTGCATTCAAATACTCTCCCTGAATTTAGCATAAATTGTGAAGATGGTGCATGCCGATTTTCTGTACAAGTTATATGAACTTATTCGAGGGTAAAGATTTTGTTAAGAGATCGATCAGATTTTCACTGGATCTGATTTGTTGAATGTTGATCGTCCTTTCTTTCTCCAGATCGTGAGTAGAGAAAAATTTTGGTGCTATGTGTTTTGTTATGTCTCCTTTGATGTAATCTTCTTTAATCTGAGCTATGCATGCAATGTTGTCTTCGTAGATCACAGTAGGGTGAATAGTAATAGGCTTCATACCGCATTCATTTTGGATGTGTTGAATCATAGATCACAACTATACACATTTTCTTCCGGTTTCATATAGTGCAATTAACTCAGGATGATTCGATGATGTAGCTGTCAATGTCTTATTCATAGATCTCCATGAGATTGCGGTATTACCATAAGTAAATATGTATCCGGTTTGTGATTTGGCCTTTTGAGGATCTGATAAATATCCAGGCATCCAGCGTTGCATATTCGATTAAAGCGGCTTTTGCATCTTTGTGGTAGAATAGGCTGAGATAAGGTGTACCGCGGAGATAACGGAATATGTGTTTGATCCCGTTCCAATGACGTCTTGTTGGACATAAGTTGTACCTAGCTAATAAATATACAGAAAATGCAATATTTGGTCTAGTTTTACTCCCTTCGAACCTTAAAACTTTGTCATCTTTCCTTTTTGGGACGTTCCAAAAAACTTTGTCGCTTTCCCTTTTAATCAATTATTTTGTGGTTTCTCTTATTTCTCTCTCCTCTACACAAATCTCAACCACACAGTTTTTACTTCATTATTCTCCATGCCGGTTAACTTTGGCAAAGTTTTAAGAGACGAAGGTAGTATTAGCTAAATACATAAAAGCTCCAATAGCACTCAAATATGTCACTTTGGGACCGAGTATTTCTTCACTGTCTTCTCGGGGACGGAATGGATCATCGTGTATGTTGAGAGAATGAACCACCATTGGTGAAGTCAAAGGATGAACTTTATCTATGTAGAATTTCTTCAAAACTTTCTCGGTGTAATTGGATTGATGGATGAAAATTTCATTCTTCAAATGCTCAATTTGAAGTCCGAGACAAATTTTGGTTCTCCCGAGATCTTTCATTTCAAATTCTTTCATAAGATAATTTGCAATATTTTCAATTTCATTAAGAGTTCCAATAAGGTTTAAATCATCAACATATATTGCAATTATGGCAAATCCTGAATTTGATCGCCGAATGAAAATACATGGACTAATTGGATCATTCTTATATCCTTCTTTGAGAAGGTATTCACTGAGATGATTATACCACATTCGTCCAGATTGTTTTAGTCCATACAATGACTTTTAACGTTTAATGGAAAACATGTCTCAAGGTTTCAAGTTGCAAGCTTTAGGCATTTTAAATCTTTCGGGAACTTTCATATAAATGTCTGTATCGAGTGAACCGTATAAATATGTAGTTACTACATCCATTGGGTGCATTGCAACCTTTTCAAAAACAGACATGCCAATGAGAAACCTTAATGTAGTTGCATCAACTACTGGAGAATAAGTTTCTTCATAATTAATTCCCGGAATTTGAGAACCCTTTGGGAAACAAGTGGGGCTTTATATCTTACGATTTTCGTTTTTCTTATTGCGTTTACACACAAATATCCATTTAAAACCCACTGGTTTGACGTCTTTTGGCGCAGGAACTATCGGTCCAAAGACATCACATTTTTCAAGCGATTTCAATTCAACCGGAATTGCTTCATTCCTTTTGTCAATTGTGTCGTCTTCGACATTCTTCATTTGAAGTTGGCTCATTGTCATTATTTTCATTTATTACATTCGTGACAACGACATAGACAAATATCTCATTAATATCAACATCTTTTCGATTTCATTGCATTCTGGTAGAAACATAGTTTATTGAAATTTCATAATTATCAACGTTTCTATCATTCTCTAGAATATCTTCCTCATTTAAGCAAGTTGGATGATTATTTGAGATGTTTGTTTTGTCAATATCATTTTCTATGTCAATATTTTCAAATTGTTCATTTTCTTGTTCAGAAGGATGAGCATCTTTGGCATCACAGATCAATTCCCGTCTTTTAGTTTTTCTTAGTTTTATATCTTTCGATCCAAGTGGTCTGCCACGCTTTTTGCGTATAGAAGAATCTTTTGCAAGAGATTTTTCAGAATTCTTTGTTGGGATTGCAATCCTGGCAAAGGCATTCATGACAGGAATATATGACTTTGTCACTTTCTTTGTATATGTGAATGCATCAGGCAACTGATGAGCAACATTTTGCCACTGAAATGTGTTGTCCGATTTATGGTCACACATTAGACCGGGGTAAGAATGGGGTACCCCATTTTGGGGTACTTATAGCATTTCTCTTTTGTAAATGGATTATCTTTTGCACCTCTTTGTCACACATATTTGATCTGGAATCAAGATGTGATAATCGTGTTGCATTCCATGTATTTCTTTCGTACTTGGGTCTAATTTATTATTTTGCCCCTCTAAGTTCGGGAAGACTGTCTCATTGAATTGACAGTCTGCAAACCGTGTGATCATAGGTTCGAGATATTTTATTATTGAGGGAGATTCAAATCCAACATAAATTCTCAACCTTCTTTGAGGACCCATTTTTGTACGATGAGGTGGAGCAATCAGAACATAAACATCACAACCAAATATCTTAATGTGTGCTAAATTTGGCTCTTGTCCAGTAACTAATTGCATTGGGGAATATTTATGATATGCATTTGGTCTAAAGCGAACTAAATTTGCTGCATGTAAAATAGCATGTTCCCAAGCTGATGAAGGTAAATTACACTTCATTAATAATCGTCTAGCGATTAATTGTAATCATTTAATCAAATATTCAGCAAAACCATTTTGTGTATGGACATGAGCAACGAGGTGCTCCACATCAATCCCAATCGACATACAATAGTCGTTAAATGATTGAGATGCAAATTTCCCTGCATTGTCAAGTCGGATTCTCTTTATAGAATGATCCGGAAAATGAGTTCTTAATCTTATAATTTGAGCTAGGAGTTTAGAAAATGCTAAATTTCTAGTCGATAAAAGACTAACATGTGATCAACGTGTTGAAGTATCAATCAACACCATAAAATATCGAAATGGTCCACATGGTGGAGCTATCGGCCCACAAATATTTCCTTGAATCATTTCTAAACATGTAGGCGATTCAGTTGCAATTTTGCTCATAGAAGACCTGATGATCATTTTGCTAAGAGAATAGGCCTTACGAGGACAATCAGTTGATAATGGAACCCAGATATTCTTCAATGGATGTCCAAGTAAAGTGTTAATGATTTTATACATCATTACATGGTCTGGGTGACCTAAACGGTCATGCCACAACATGAATGTTTTCTGATCATCTAACTTTGTGTTAGAAACCAAATTTATTTCAAATGGACTAATATATGTGAAATGTAGTCCTCGGGAATATGCTGACATTTTTTCACAAATATATTTAGTGCCAAATTTAGTTGTCGTGAGGCAAGGATATTCCTTTTGATTTTCATTCATGGTTTCTAGTGATAACCATTTTGATGTGTAGGAGTAAATTGACGGGTTTGATACTTTTTTGTCCATATTTTCTCCAAGACCGCACACTAGAAGATAAATCAGCCTGTACTTGACAAACCCTTTTCAAGTCTTCAACTTTTATTTATTTTTATTAAAACAAAATCAAATTACATCCATCAACGCAAAAGAATAAATCAAACCAATTATTGTCAATTTATTATCGGAATAGAAAAAGGATTCTCAATAGTAACATTGCACATTTGCATCCAATAAGTATGATCATTTTACAAAAGGAAGAATATGTTATTTCTATACTTTTTGTTAATAAAATTTTCAATTTCTAAAAACAAAAATGTATTCATCACACAAAAATATTTACATTAAAGGTAAACACCACGAGAATGATATTGTTCTTGGACTACATGCATTATAGTAGTTTATGTTTAGAATTACAGTAGTTTATTTTTTTAAATAAACATTCTTGGACCCCAATTCATCTTCACTAATGCATGAAGATGATAATTAACGATCAGTACATCATATTACAATCTCATATTATTTAGTAATAATTATGATTGTTGTTACGTAATTATGTAGATGTCCGTTAATCCATAATCCATAGGCCCATATATAATG